AAAATATATTCTAATGCCACACCATTATCACTGTGTATACGGCAAATTGGTATTCGTGATGCCTTGAAATTTAGGCATTAGTGCACGCTACATCATTACAGTAAAAATTATCGTTTGTCACAGATTTCTGTGTTTTCCTTTATAATCTCATTTTTTACCGGTTCCACAATTAAATTTACCCACATCTGCCTGCCCATGATTATTGCTTCACAATATATCATTAAAATAGACATGCGTTTTTAAATGAAATAATTTTTTGGGTTGTCCAAACCAAAAGCAAGTTTTATACTTATTATATTATTAAAAATGTTTGAACAAACTCTCTCATTTGAAACTTTCTTCACGTTAACACATAACCATTCTGGGACCAGTCTATTGGAAGCCAGTTAATAGTTTTGGAACTATTTACCTTATAGAGATACACTGTTTCACAAGAAATTTAAATGCTAATGAAACGATAAAATTCCACGGTTTTGATTTCCGACACGCATAATATTATGATTACCAGTGGTAGTAAAACTAAAAATTATCGTCGAGTCTGTGCAGTACAGTAAATGTATATGCCAACGTATTTTTTATAATGGTGGATGAAAGGAGTCTGGCTCTTTTAAAGACATCTACCGCTGACTTTTCTATTAAGATGCTAATAGTCCTGAATTCATTAGTCAAGCCTCTGCTTTAAACTGTTGTCTAGACCAAGACCTGAAAGGTCGAGATACTGCTATTAATTAAAAGAAATGATACGATGGATTATCTTTTTAAAAGTGCAGCAATAAACAATAAAACTTTGGATAAATTGCCTTACAGTTTATTGTTTAATAAAACCAACTTAAATAACTGTTAAAAGTTAAATATTAATTTATTGCTAACTATAAATAATTTTTATCTGCACCAGTGTAGAAATAATTAATTAGACGAACAAAGCGTATTACAAACAATAAAATTATTTTGATTGTTTAAAAACAATCAATTTACAAGCCTGGCTCCAAACAATTACAAAAACAGTTAGGTATTACAAAAATGTCTTCTTCGTAGCGGATATTGCATTTTGGAAATAAAAAGCCATAGCAAAATCACTTAGATTTAATAGTTAAACAAAGAAAAAAACAAGTCAAGAAGATAAAATTAATGCTTTTTAATATTCCATCTGTATAGTTCTGTTTTGATGGGTTATATAAGGCTTGCCAATTAAAAAGATACGCATAAATCTTTCAAACGTTCGTTTGTTATTATACCTGACGGCGGATTTGTAATCAGGTGAATGAAAAAAAAATCGCTTTCAAAATAAATAAATTGGATCACAGAAATTGCCTAGACAAGGTGTTCTATTACGGCCCAGGTAAACAACCTTTAACCTATTGTATTGGAAATGGTTTTACATGAATAACAATGGCAATTTCGTCTAGCTAAAATGGGGTAAAGTAAATTAAAAAAGGTATAACAAAATGATAATGAGGTAATTTAAACTGTGCAGTAGAACAGAGTTTGTGGATGCTATTAAGGCGAAGATCATGCATAGGTATCTATGATTAGGTTTGGATGGTGTAGGTGTCGTGAGGACATGGCGCGGGGGAAGTTTTAATTGTCCGGCACGGCATTCGGGAAACACACGGTATAATTACGGGCGGGCGATTTAAAAATCTGTATCACGTTGCGGGTATGTCTTGAAATTCCGCAGTGCATACATATGGAAGTTATGTGTTTGCGCAATTTATTCACTGTGATTATCTAGTATTGTACTGTAAGTCTCAAGAATTCTCGAGATGCATCTACAAAGTACGTAATTGAATAATTTATTTTCTCATTTAAATAATATTTATGTGCACTCTTACCGATTTTATGCTACGGACAAATACAATTTACATACCGCCGGCCTTTCTTTTAACAACGAAAAAAAGCGTCCAACGCGTTTTGATTCGTTACGTAAACCTGTCAATTATGGCCAACTACATAAATCTCGTTTATTTATTATTTAATTTAGCAGTATTGACAATAACTTAGATACCAACGCAAAGCCGGTGAAACTTGTTCCACATTTTTAGACTTACTACCGCACTATATTAACATGTTAACAATCTTTAGCTATGAAGACCATTTCAATTTCATCTAATAGCCAATATATCTTGCGCTCTTGACAACAACAATCCAATGTCAAAGTATTCCTGCAGTAAAGATATAAAGATTTCTATATTAACAGGGCATATCGAATATACCATTAGCATAAATGATAAATTCCAGAGTCCTGCTGTTTCTTTATAAACCGCAACTCAAATGGTCCCCATTGAAGGTGACGCGTTGAAGCTTAGATTTGAATAAACATCGATAATTAAAAGCGATTCAGCTAGGAGGACATTCTTCCATGTAAATCGAACCAAGACTGACGTATTTAAACCGAGTAGCAATATAAATCCAATCAACCCGAGCACAATGTCAGAATTATTTATTTAATCTACAACTAAGAACCATTCAAGCGAGCTTTGTTCGATGCCGATGAATTCATTTGTTTATCTGAATAGTTCTCCATGGTCATCTTACCTTACATCTTGTAATGCTTCTATTACCAGGCATGCCAATACGAAATTACTTTTGCTGAGATTAATGAAGATTATTATTCGAACGCACTCCAACAAAAATAAGCTCAAGGTTGTAACGAAATTAGCATCATTTTTCAAAGAAGGATCCCATATAAAAATTCAATAACCTTTTTTCACAGTCGAGATGCTTTCCAAAAAGGGACGCAACGTGTGGGCCTATAAGAAATAAACCCGTAGCTTTAACTTATGCATAAAAAATGTTTCACAGCTGGTTGCAAAAATTCATTTGGTTGACATTTTACACGCCCAAGCCATCGTCGTCATAATATATCGAGAAATATGAATGCTAAACGGACGGAAAAAAGACCTGTCGAGTTGTTTTTCAACACAGTTAATGTTTACGTTGCAATTTTATATGCTCATTTTCATCAAATCTCTTTTTAATGGTCAAATAAAACTTGCTGTTAATGCTTACCCTAAAGAACGACGTCACATATCAGATGAAATTTATTCAAGCCTTATTTTTGTTGGTTAGCGATTTTAGAAAGCCAAGTTTTAGTTCTGATATATTCTATTTAATCTAGAGCTTTAAACACATTAGAAAATAAAACTTTAGTCATTAGAATGCGGCGATGCCATCTCTTAGGCCAATATTGCACTATCTGGGGTAATATTAATACTCCACCAAACTTTAAGTGCTTCTCTTAAGCATCGCAGTTACCACACTTCGCATTGTATGCGAATATGTTTCGCGCACTAAAAATAATTTATTATGTGTTAAAATTTTGTATATTAAACCGTTTGCATAGTAATAGCACTATATGTCTTCTCAACATAATATATTAAAATTAAACTTGACTTAGTAGTGTAGAAGATCCTTTTACCTCATCCAAACATTCTAAATTCTCCTTGTAAACGCGAACCATTTATATAGAAATCAGGATAATCCTAGCTAGCGTATTCTCTCTCAGTTTCCTGCATACGACGCATGAGATACCTAATTATTGTTAATTCCTAGTACTTAGATGCTTCACATCGTAATGCATCCAGAACTTTGTGCTCGTAAATATAAGCATTTAAACGCTTAATTCATCATTAGGATAGTCAGGAAGTATAGTAAAATTATCGCAATACTGTCCTAAAATGCAATGTTGACGTTACTCAATAAGTTAATTCATTTCTTCAGAATAGAGCAATTCATTTTTATCGCCATTTGAGGCATCTCTTTGCTGCCAACAATTTTTTCAGTTCTGGATAAAAGAAAAAGTCACAGGGGACCAAATCTGAAGAATACGGAGGAAGCGGTAGCACTTTCCACTCTAATTCCTTGATTTGTTTCAATGTTTGGAGCTGCTTTGTTATCTAGAGATTTGTCTTGAGTGCCTTAATTGGTTATCCAGAAAATTCAGAATAATTTTTTGATGTACCGTCCCCATAGTGACTTTGAAGTCACAGCAAAAGTTAATTTTATGTCTTAATTTATTTTTAAAAAAATGCAACGTTCCTTGACACAAAAGATTGTAAAATCAAAACTTGTAGATTGATCTGAAATTTTGATATAATTGTGGCGCCATCTTCTGGACTTATCAATATGCCCTCGTAAATAAATTTTAGTCGAAGAAATCATGTACTCTGGCACGAAATGTAATTAAATGTGTTTGTCTATTTATAGGTTAAATCAAGCGCTGTGGGAAGCGGTAAAAACACTTCGAATGTAAGGAAGCTAAAAGTAGAACGTATTGTGGTTTATTTTAATTTTTGCATTGCCTACATCTCGGGCGTGAGGTAATGGTAGATTGTTGTGGAAATTTGACTTTTAAAGTCACGATTCTAGTACACCTTTATAATTAAACATGTTCTACGTATACACTGAGAGAAAAAGTGTGATTTATAGTTAAAAAATCTTTATTTGGATAGCCTTTATTTACAATAAATAAAGTAAATTTATTGTTAATCTACCTATTTAACTATTAATAATTTGCGTAATATTTTTTATTTAGCAGAAACAAATAATTTGTTTTTTGCCCATATGTTTATTATTAATAATGCAAATTTGGTCATAATAAATACCTATTTGCTAGGGCGAGCTTTAAAAATTTATTTATTATAAATTTTGAGTTTATTTTTAGGTGAGAAACAATATTAACAATGAATAAATCTTTATTTCTTGTTTACTGTACTAAAACTTCTGTCAGGGCAGGGTTGCCAGATGCGTCAACTTATCGCCATAATTTTATACATTTGTTGAATGTTAAATGTTTAAAAGAAATAAATGATTAAATTTACCATAGTTAAAGAAAAATATTAGTAAAACTCATATTCGTAGAAGTAATTTCTTGCATTGTACTTACTTAATTTATCTTTTTTTTTCTAATATTTTATTCTACTTTATAAATATTTAAAAAAATGTTAACCTGCATTCATTTATTTTATTGTGGATATAATACGCGGCAACTTTGGCGCGGAACACCGGCTACTCCCAAAAAAGAGTCCGGCAACCCTGCATAGACGTTTCTAGAAGGGTGTACCGCGTGCTGCGTTTATCTCTGCGCGTGCTTCTAAGACCGCGTCCGTATGTTTGTATCGAAAGGCTTTGTTATCTATGGTTCGTATCTTACTTTATCTAAATTGGATAATCTAATCTGTATGGTGTACCAAGTGTTAAGTGATTCTGTGACAGAATTTCTGTTCTTTGCATTGTTATTTATTTTCTGTGTGCCGGCTAGTGGGTCTGCGATTTTAAAAAATCCAAACATGGAAGATTTGGACGAGCTTTACAAATTTTTAAAAAGCAATGGATTTATCGACTTGCTAGAGACATGTCGTGGTAAGTCTAACATTTATGTCCATTAGTAAGTAACAGTAACAGTAACAGTACATATATGCATCTACCCCAGTAGGCCCCCATGTTCTCCATGGGGCACTGATTTTATACTAGTTTAACAAGAGTTTATTAATAATAAATAAATATACGTTTGTATATACAATTAGCTTGCATATCTATAAATATATTTCTTAATTAAAAATAAAATAATTTTTTTAATAATAAAGTTTGGTAATAGTGAAATTTTAAATTATTTTATATTAATAATTGAGAGTTCTCTGTTAAACTTTATTTGCAGCAAATGGCGTCGATAGCTTGGCCACATTAAAAGAAATTGTTATTGACAATGAAGAATTGAAGATACTAATCCCTCAGTTGGGTAAACGAATTAAATTAAAAACCAAGTTGCTCGAACATCAGACAGTTGCTCAAACCTATGAAGAACCCATTGATTGGTAAGTGTACCTATAGCTGCATGAATCCATGTCCCTATCTGTACTGGGTGATCCAAAATTAGCCCGCCAAACGTTAACAGTGCAATCTACATGGACATTACTCATAGGCATAACATTTAGGGGCGTAGTACAAAATAGCTACATCTTTTATCTGGGTTAATTTTTTTAAATTTCTTTATGACATTGTGAAAATTTAGAGCTTTTAACCACTTTTAACTAAAAAAAGTTACTTCCGATTTGCATTGCTAAGATGCATTGTTGCATTTAAAGATTAAGTACCTACACTGTTTAGCTTCCACATATCATATTTTAATTTAATCATATTAAGTAGTATGCTTTGTAACAAAAGTGACATGTTGGCTATTCATTTTTTATGTAACACTTTAAAAATTCTTTAAAAAACATCATCCTGGGGCCCTGTCAAAGGGGCGTGGCCTTATTAAGGGGCTGTTTTCGATACATGTTTTTTAAACAAAATAGTGTTATTTTTCTTAAGATTAGCAGGCTTATTTTGGGACACCCTGTATAATACAAAAATATGTCTATTTTTAGATTTTAAATTATAATTAAGTAAAATATTCATAATTCAAAATTTTAAATTAAATATCATCTGTCCTTTAGTATGTATTTATATCATATAAGTAGGTATCATGGTGGCCTGTTGACTGTCAAAAAAATTTACTAGATTTAAATTTACCTTAACTACAAAAAATACCCAATCAACAATAATTAAATAACGTCAAATTAACAATAAGCATTGTATCATTGTGTCATTTTTAAGTTAAGGTAAATTTAAACAAAATCTAGTTGATTTTTTTTACAGAAAATGGTAACGCTGATAAGTACCACCATAGCATAATATAATGCTTCACACCAAAAAAGCCCACTTTGACATTTCATTGAGGAATGCAGCCTTGTGAGTCGACATCTGTCGGAGTATTGACAAAAGAAAACAAATTTTAAATAAAATTATATGATTTTTAAACGTAAAAATAATTTTGTGAAATATGCTAGACTATGTAAGTAAATATATAACAATATAAAATTAGTTTTCTTGGCTATATTTTGACAGACCTTAATGGTTTAGCTTTTTAAGGCTGGGTTTCTTATTTAAAATCATAGTTGGCCTTTTAGGCGTGGAGCATATACCTATATTATACTATAGTAGGTAGCAGAATCGTAAATTTTTGTTTTTCCATTTTAGGCAATTAGACACAGAAAGTACCTCGGAAAGTACCCAATCAAATAAAATATTAATTTTGGATTTAAATAACCAGCCTCAACCAGAGTCACATGATTACACAGTTGTACCAGTTTATTCATCTACTCCCTCTCATTCAAGGCTTTCCTCTCAAGAGGATTTGTCCTCAGCAATTAATGAATGTGTATCAAATTTAAATTTGCATGAATTATTAGAAAAAAGTACTACAGGAAAAGCCATAAAGGAGCTATACAATATTAAAAAAACTTTAAATAGTAAATGTCAATCATATTTGGTAGAAATCATTGTTCAGCACTTTATGAATGCTGAGCCATTCAGGTAAGATCAAACATATAAATTTGGAAGATAAGGTTTTTAATAACTTCTCTTTCTTTATTACAGAAGATTAAGTAATCAAGATTTTCGAATTTTATCGCAAAAAATTGTAAGTGAATTTCCAAATGAACTACCTCAAGTATATTTTGCTTCTCCAATAAAGAAAAGGAATTCGCGAGAAAAGAAAAGTGGTATAGCTCGAGGCAAATTGGTGGACAAATACAGGAATAGACTAACATTTTTAAGAGAAGCTGGTATTTTATCTTCATCTAGAAGACCATCTGAAAGTAATGAAAATTTTTTGCAAAACGTTACTTCAGACAGTATTGATGACGATGGTATGTATAAGTTTATTTATTACTAGACAGGGTTGGGCGAAACTAGATTTAAAAATCATGTTTTTAATCAAAAAAATGATTTTATAAATTTTATTGTTTTAAGTATACTGTATAATCGTTAAGTGAGAAGTACCCAACCTTACTCCTCACTCAAGGGTAAATATAATTTTATAGTGTTGGTTTTATTTAAAATAATCTAAAATCATCAAAAAAAATATATATACATATGTATATAGTATATACTAGGGTGTTTCAAAAAAAATTAAAATTATTTTTTTTTTCTAGTGGTGTTGAAAAATTAATAGTACATTAAAAAACAAAAATTTTGGCGCATATTTGAGCCCTTAATATTAAGAAGAATTAAAGTGATTTTACATAAAAAATAATATAAATATGGCATATGATATTTTTTTGTATTTTATTTGAAATTATTTGAAATTTTTTATTAGTGTTATTTTTGATCGCTGATATCTTTGAAACGGTTGATCTGAAGAACTTTGACCTTCAGATGTTTTTTGTAGAGCGTGAATTTGTCTATAACTCCTCTCGCTTGGGTGTTGCGAAAACAAACCGTTCCAAAGTTATAAGAATTCCAATTTAAAAAAATAAAAATTCCCGTAATATTGAAATGGAAAAACAAAAAATGAATTGAGGCAAACCTTAATAATAATAGGCGCCAACATTTTTGTTTTTTAATGTACTATTAATTTTTCAACACCATTGGAAAAAAAATAATTTTTATTTTTTTTTGAAACACTAATACCTAATAATTTTATTTACAATATTAAAATCCCACTGCTAAAATGGATTATACAATTAAACGTAATACCTACCTATATATATATATACAGGGTGTTTCATAATATATGCGCAGGACTTCAGGATGTGATAGCTCATCCAAAAAGATGAAAAAAGTCGCTATTAACTTACCCTCTAAAATGCACAATTTTCGAGATACAGGGTGTTGAAATTTTAGAAAAAAAATCGTTTTTTCGAATATCTTCGGAACCTTTTATCGTACAAAAAACAGCTTTTGTAAGCATTTTTTACCCATAATAAGCTATGTTTTGTGCCAGAAAAAATTTTTTTTACTCATAATGATTGGTATTGGTCAATTTCTTGTTAAAGTAATTTTGGCAAAACTTCAATTTTCGAAACCCTGTGAATTGATATTTAATTTTAAATATAAAGGTGGTACCAGTGGCGTAACTGATGCCTCCACAGGCTACGCTATGCGGGGGCGCCTTGAATCCCTTTTTATCAAAATATAAATATGAAGGATCCAGAGGGGTTTAAAGTAACAGGGCGCTTTCAGAAATTTGTGGGGGGCGCACATACTCTTAGTTACGCCACTGGGTGGTACCTAAATTACTTATCTGACTGTCAAAATAGCTTTTTAATCTATGCTGTTGATTTAATTTAGTATTAAAACTCTGTGCCTAATTGTAATGTTTATATATTATATTATTATTAATACTCTGCACTTAATTATAATGTAAATATATTATTACATATCGCCTCCTTGGAACTACAACTGGATAACTTAATTTTCGTGATAAACCAAAGAGCCTTAACTAACAATAAAACAATAATTGTTTTATTGTTGTTTAAGGCCTTTTCGTTTATCGCGAAAGTTGTAATCTTAAGAGGGCGATATAATTGCCAGGCTATTATAATGCTAATTTATGCTTTTAAGACGAGAACAAGAAAAATATTATTTGGCTAAGAAATAATCAAGTGCCATGGAGTGATGTGGTTGAGAAATGGACTAGCACTTATGAGTACCGACAAGGGTTGCTTAGACAAGAAGATCTGGACTTCAAGGATATTTTAGGGTTGTTCCCAATCATACAAAACCCATTAGGGCACCATTTAATAGATTTTGATTTTAAAAAAAAATATCCCAAGCAGTACCAAGCCCTCTATAACAATTTTGAAATAGTATTCTCTAAACTACTACAGTTGAAGAAAAAAAACCTAAACCAGAGCGACACTCTACTGGTAGAAATTATTAAATCTGAGAATATAGATGTTGGTGAGTTGATAATTTTGTACTATAAAAGCTATGTAAAAAATATTTCAAAAAATTACACCGCATATTATTTGTACACAATTGTGTTGGTACATAGGTAAATCTAATTTTATTGTTTTTCCAGAATCTCGTCATTATTTAATGCTTAGTTTATTAGCAGCACTACTGCCAACCAGAACATATAACAAAAAGGCAAAAAACACTTGGTATCCAACTTCAACTGAAACTGTTAGTGGAATAGTTGTTCAGATAAAGGTTAGTATTATTTTTAATAATACATATGTAATATCTTTTTGTGTGCACAGATTGATAATTTTTTTTTTTATTCAGATTCCCGGAGACATTGAAAATATAATTGCCGAGAAGCGCAAGAAATTGGAAAAATATGGTTTGCCATTATTACCATTCATCATAATTGAGGGTATTTCATACACTAACATAAACAACATTTACGTAAGCTATAACAATATCTTGTATCATGTAGTTTCAGTTTTAAAAGCTGTTGATGTTTGCTTTGAACTGATTCATACATTTAATTTAAAGTATCCTTATGAATGTGAGCATGTATGGATGTTTATACAGTTGGGAATGTATAATATAAAAACAATGTATGATAAAATCCCAAACATATTAGATATAGTAAATAAGATCAGCTCTTCTGATTGAAATAATCGATTAATTAAAAATGAACTGCAAAAATTGTAGCAAAGTGTTTGCCAAAAACCAAAGTTTTATTACTCATATGACAATTGCTCATCGATTTGTAAGTTCATTTTCATGTTGCTATGTCAATTGCAACCGAAATTTTA